ACCACAGATCCAGTTGCAGGTCACAGCGGTTCGGACCACAGATCCAGCTGCAGGTCACAACGGTTCTGTTAATGTCTCACTATGTTTTCAATCACTTGTATTTTAAAGTTCTGACGTAAAAGTCCATAAAAACTACAAAGATGGCTCCTCTAAATTTTGAACCAGTAAACTTTATTGAACACAAGTCATTCGTCACAAATCTGAGCACGTTTTAAAACTGAGATTAATTCAGATTAAACATCAAGTCATGAAACAGAAACACAAGAATCTGTTTATATGACCACAACAAAAGCTTTCTGGGCTGGGAGCGCTTTTAGCTTCAAACATTAAACTTTTTATTTACTCAAACATTAGCTTCATGCTAACGCTAGCTAGCATTGAAACGCAGTTAATGTGATTAAAACAGGAGTTTAAATGTCAGTATTTACAGCACAAAACACGCATTGCCTTTAACAGAACCCAACAGAACCAGGATTACCTTTAACTGGACCCAAAAGAACCAGCATTCACTCCGTCCTTACAGCAGATTTTCTTCTTGATTTTTTTGGCGGTTGGCAGAAACGGAAGGTGCTCATTACCGCCACCAGCTGGTGTGGAGTGCGCGTCATCAGAGTTTCATTCTGCGTGCGGGGCAGCATTTCACTGGGGACACGTGCCAATGCCAGGACAAAGACCGACACAGAGACACAGACTTAAATACAAACACTGACGAGACCTAAACTTCTGTTTTTTTAATACCTGCTGCCACAAGGTGCTATTTTCCGCAATCACAACATACCATTTCATTTCTACGCCAATGACTGTCAAATTTACTTCCCCCTGAGGAACAGAGGCACATGCGCTATTCAACCTCTTTTCGACTGCCTGGCTGACACCCGGGACTGGATGGCTTTAAACTTCTAAAGTCTCAACGAGAAGAAGTCGGAAGTCATCTTGTTCCATTCCAATGGCACGTCCATGAACCACTGCGTTGACCTTTCCTCTCTAGCTCCGTTAGAGAAACACAGAGTCACCAATTTGGGAGTGATAATGGACCCCTCCTTAAAACTTAACAGTCATGTAAACATGATTGTTAAATCCTGTTTTTTTCCAGCTGAGGCGGCTGTCTAAGCTGAAGCCCATATTGTCCAAAAAGAATCTCGAGACAGTGATCCATGCGTTCATAACATCCAGGCTCGATTACTGCAATGCACTTCTGTTTGGAATCAATCAATCCTCCATTGCACGTCTACAACTGGCCCAAAATGCTGCAGCCCAATTTTTAACTGGTACAGGCCATAGAGAGAATATTACTCCAGTTTTGGCCTCCCTGCACTGGCTACCCATTCACCTTCGGATCCAGTTCAAAATACTCGTGTATGTTTTTAAATCACTGAACAGTTCTGCCCCATCCTATCTCACTGATCTTCTACAGCCATATGTCCCACCGCGCTCTCTGAGGTCAGCAGACCAGATGCTCCTTTCAGTTCCAGAAACCCGTCGCAAGCTCAGAGGTGACGGGGCTTTCTCTGTGGCAGGTCCAAGACTATGGAATGAGTTGCCACTGCGTGTCAGGCAGGCTCCCACACTCACAGTCTTTAAGTTTCGCTTGAAAACACACTTTTATTCCCTTGCCTTTGACACGGTGTGATTTGTTTTGATCCAGTCTGTAGTCTACAGTGTTGGCCTTTTAGTTATTATCTGCTGCTATTCGTGTCTATATTTTTATTTTATGTTTTCCTGTCCGCTGTGCTTGTTTGTTTCTATTGTACCGCACTTTGGTTGGCCTTGTTACTGTTTTAAGTGCTCTATAAATAAATTGTTATGGTATGGTATAAAGCATCTTTATTCCTTTGGAGTTAATGTGGCCAGTGAAGTACGTCTTTTATTTTTGTAAATACCGTGGAAGCCCATTTCCGATATGAAAGAAAAAATAAAAGCCCAACAAGAAGTCGTAATTTCGACTTTTAAAGTCATAATTACAAGAATAAAAGTCATAATTATGAGTTTTAAAGTTATAATTACAAGAATAAAAGTCATAATTATGAGTTTTAAAGTCATAATTATGAGAATAAAAAGTCATAATTATGAGTTTTTAAAGTTATAATTACGAGAATAAAAGTCATAATTATGAGTTTTAAAGTCATACATTAAAGGAAAAAAATTAAAGGTAAAAATGCAGCCTTGACTTTGAAATGAAAAGGCATTTCTGCTAATACATAGTTTAATTTTCAAATCTGACATTTCAAAATAAATTATGCTCACTTTTACAGGGACATATTTTGAAAATTAAATGTTAAACGTTATTTTATTTATAATTTTAATTAATTTACAAATTGAGCAGTCTTGGAGAAGAAAATGAAAATGCAGTTTGGATTATTTATTTTTAATTTTATTTATGAGTCAAAACATGCAGCTTTATTTTGAAAATGAAAAGCATTTCTATTAATCCATTTTAATTTGAAACTTTACACATATTCGCTTCCACAGCTGAGGAGCTGGCCGCGTGCCAAACATCGATTAACA